CCGAACTGCATTATGCCAGTTAACCCCCCAAATAGCATCGGTCCATGCAAACCCCCCGAACCACATTGCACCAGGTAACCCCTCAAATAGCATCGGTCCATGCAAACTCCCGAACCACATTGCGCCAGGTAACCCCTCAAATAGCATAGGTCCAGGCAAACCCCCCGAACCAAATAATGCCAGATAACCCCCCAAATAGCATCGTTCCATGCAAACCCCCGAACCACATTGCGCCAGGTAACCCCTCAAATAGCATAGGTCCAGGCAAACCCTCCGAACCAAATAATGCCAGATAACCCCCCAGATAGCATCGTTCCATGCAAAACCCCGAACCACATTGCGCCAGGCAACCCCCCAGATAGCATCGTTCCATGCAAAACCCCGAACCACATTGCGCCAGGCAACCCCCCAGATAGCATCGTTCCATGCAAACCCCCGACCGCATTGCGCCAGGTGCCCCCGTGCAGATTACACAGAAGGTGATGGCGACGGCAAAACGTCGACGGTAAGAAGAAGGTGGTGACGGTGAAGATTCGACGTGGAGGTGATGGCGACGGCAAAACGTCGGCGGTAAGAAGAAGGTGGCCCCGTGCAGATTACACAGAAGGTGATGGCGACGGCAAAACGTCGACGGAAAGAAGATGGTGATGACGGTGAAGATTCGACGGGATGAAGGTGATGGCGACGGCAAAACGTCGGCGGTAAGAAGAAGGTGGTGACGGTGAAGATTCAACGGGATGAAGATGATGGCGACGGCAAAACGTCGACGGTAAGAAGAAGGTGGTGACGGTGAAGATTCGACGTGGAGAAGGTGATGGCGACGACAAAATGTCGGCGGTAAGAAGAAGGTGGTGACGGTGAAGATTCGACGGGATGAAGGTGATGGCGACGGCAAAACGTCGACGGTAAGAAGAAGGTGATGACGGTGAAGATTCGACGGGATGAAGGTGATGGCGACGGCAAAACGTCGACGGTAAGAAGAAGATGGTGACGGTGAAGATTCGACGGGATGAAGGTGATGGCGACGGCAAAACGTCGACGGTAAGAAGAAGGTGGTGACGGTGAAGATTCGACGTGGAGAAGGTGATGGCGACGGCAAAACGTCGGCGGTAAGAAGAAGGTGGTGACGGTGAAGATTCGACGGGATGAAGGTGATGGCGACGGCAAAACGTCGACGGTAAGAAGAAGATGGTGACGGTGAAGATTCGACGTGGAGAAGGTGATGGCGACGGCAAAACGTCGACGGTAAGAAGAAGGTGGTGACGGTGAAGATTCGACGGGAACAATACAGTTGCAAAGCCGCCTCATGCAAACCTGAACGGATACATGTTTGACGCAAAAATGTGCACACAAACATACATACACCTCATACACACACTTGCACACTACTCAACACACATGCATACTACAGAACGCACAATAGAACAAACACAGGAAGCGCATCACAACACTGGCATACCGCAGAGTGCAAAATCCTTTCTCTCCGCACGGTTAACTAAGGAAATAATTCAACCTAAACCATATCATGCCAGCATGATGCCAGGCCATGCCCCCCAATCACATCATGCCAGGCCATGCCCCCCAATCACATCATGCCAGGCCATGCCCCCCAATCACATCATGCCAGGCCATGCCCCCCAATCACATCATGCCAGGCCATGCCCCCCAATCACATCATGCCAGGCCATGCCCCCCAAATCACATCATGCCAGGCCATGCCCCCCAAATCACATCATGCCAGGCCATGCCCCCCAAATCACATCATGCCAGGCCATGCCCCCCAATCACATCATGCCAGGCCATGTCCCCCAAATCGCATCATGCCAGGCCATGTCCCCCAAATCACATCATGCCAGGCCATGCCCCCCCAATCACATCATGCCAGGCCATGCCCCCCCAATCACATCATGCCAGGCCATGCCCCCAAATCGCATTGTGCTAGGCAAAACCCCAAACCGAGTTGCACCCGGCCACCCCAGGCCCCGACAACATCCGCCCAGGTACCTCCCAGATCATTTTGCATGGGCCCATTACTGGGAAGTTCAGCTGCGCAAGTCCTCGTGCTGCATTGATTCCATTTGACCACCAAACCGAAACCGTTGGTCATTATTTACGTTGATCACCCGATCGTTTACAGAACTGCTGTATTCGCCATTTATTGATATTATATTATTAACCGTTATATGGTCGGTATGGCCGTTTATTGTACGACACCATTCGTTCGGTCATTGCTCGTAGTTGGCGCTGCATGCAGCCAACAAGTTATTAAGCCTTGGAATGGCGGCAACTGATGATGATGATGATGATGATGACGATGATGACGATGATCATGATGATGATGCGTCTATATGCCGCCGCCAACGTTGCCGCCGCCGCTAGCCAACTGGCCAGCAGCGGCGGCGCCCGGCTGGGTGCAGCTGGGTGCGGAGGAATTGCACCCAGCAGTGCACCTGAAGGAAAAGGGACAAGGCGGGGGAAGGGCGCGGGAGGCCAAAATACGGTTAGCAGTACGACACAACTAACACACACATAATTAGGTGACAGTTGCAAGGGTACCGCTGCTGGTCCCCACGACGCACACCCCATGCACCAAAACCCCAAGCCCATCCGCACCCACCTCAGCCGGGTCCATCATCAGCAACGCCCGCTCGGTGCCACTGGGGCGCACAGGTTGATGCCCCAGCCGCACCTGAAGAGGAGGTGCGTGATAAAGGGGGAAACGGCCAGAGGGGATAGGTAAGGGGGCAGCATACACGGGGGGGAGGGGGTAAAACACCAAATGTCATTATTTTGCCCAAAAGTCACAAGGCCTCGTTGCGACACGTGCGCTGCGGCCCTGCGGCCTTTCTCCGCGACCACTAGTTGAACCCAAATCACGAAGTACGCACCACACACACACACGTCGCCCACCCACCCACCCATCCACCCACCTGAGACGGGCGTTATAAAAGTACGGCCGGCCCCTGCGTGCGGGTGCCGGCAGGCCGGACGACTCGTACGCCCCGAGTCCCGGCAGCCAGTCGACCCTGCATTCGGGTCCTGGCACCAGGGAAGCTGCCGCAAACCCTGGCGATAAAGGGCCCGGGCCATGGCCACTGCTGCAGCTGCTTGCTGATCTGCCGGCTGCTGCTGCTGCTGCTGCTGCTGCTGACTACATAATGAAAAAAGTAAAAATACGGTGACAGGAGGTGCAAAGGCCTGGGAAAACCCATAACCTCTACAACCCCGGCACCCTAATGCACGCCTTAGCTTATTAGGCTGAGGCGCATTACTAATCTATAATAAGATATTTGAAACAGAGAAAATAAATAAATAAATAAATAAAGCGGAAATAGATATCAGCTTTATTTATTCATCTATTTTTATTTAATAAGGTGTAGCCTCCCCTTAATTAGGTAATCCCTAAACAAATGAAAATCAATTGTGCACAACCAGGGCTGTGGGCACCACAAACGAAAACACGACAGACTGTACACGCGCGGCAACAGCCGTGACACGCGCACACTCGCTGATGCTGGTTGTTGGCTGCTGGCTGATAGCTGCGTAGCGTAGCCCATTTAGGCAATATAACTGGCTGCAGCTGCTGGCTGGTTAGATAACGCTAGCTACCATCCACAAAACCCAGCGACGACAATAAAACCGGCCGGTCACCACCAACTGTCCACCAAATGTCCACCAACTGGATCAACATCTGCCAACCTCTTCCAACCAAACATATCTCCAACGGACAACTTCCACCATGACAACCATATTTCTCGACCCGATCCTCCATATCTTTGGACTCCCTTATTTTCCTGCTTTGAACTAGTCCTTCCGTTTGCAACGAATGTCGTGGTTTGAGCAACGATGTCTCCCTTTTCATCTTTCTTTTGTGCATGGTAGGTTTGAAAGCAGAAGGGTGATAAGAGGAAAGGAAAAAAGGCCGCGGTGGCAGCAATGCCAGAGGTGAAGAGCCGCAGCGGCGGCAGGGGAGGGAAATGCACCGCAAGAACAGCAATTTGCTGAAGCGATGAGAGGAAAGGAAAAAGGCCGCGGTAGCAGCAATGCCAGAGGTGAAGAGCCGCAGCGGCGGCAGGGGAGGGAAATGCACCGCAAGAACAGCAATTTGCTGTAGCGATGAAAGGAAAGGAAAAAGGCCGCGGTAGCAGCAATGCCAGAGGTGAAGAGCCGCAGCGGCGGCAGGGGAGGGAAATGCACCGCAAGAACAGCAATTTGCTGTAGTGATGAGAGGAAAGGAAAAAGGCCGCGGTAGCAGCAATGCCAGAGGTGAAGAGCCGCAGCGGCGGCAGGGGAGGGAAATGCACCGCAAGAACAGCAATTTGCTGTAGCTATGAAAGGAAAGGAAAAAGGCCGCGGTAGCAGCAATGCCAGAGGTGAAGAGCCGCAGCGGCGGCAGGGGAGGGAAATGCACCGCAAGAACAGCAATTTGCTGTAGCGATGAAAGGAAAGGAAAAAGGCCGCGGTAGCAGCAATGCCAGAGGTGAAGAGCCGCAGCGGCGGCAGGGGAGGGAAATGCACCGCAAGAACAGCAATTTGCTGTAGCGATGAGAGGAAAGGAAAAAGGCCGCGGTAGCAGCAATGCCAGAGGTGAAGAGCCGCAGCGGCGGCAGGGGAGGGAAATGCACCGCAAGAACAGCAATTTGCTGTAGCGATGAAAGGAAAGGAAAAAGGCCGCGGTAGCAGCAATGCCAGAGGTGAAGAGCCGCAGCGGCGGCAGGGGAGGGAAATGCACCGCAAGAACAGCAATTTGCTGTAGCTATGAAAGGAAAGGAAAAAGGCCGCGGTAGCAGCAATGCCAGAGGTGAAGAGCCGCAGCGGCGGCAGGGGAGGGAAATGCACCGCAAGAACAGCAATTTGCTGTAGCGATGAAAGGAAAGGAAAAAGGCCGCGGTGGCAGCAATGCCAGAGGTGAAGAGCCGCAGCGGCGGCAGGGGAGGGAAATGCACCGCAAGAACAGCAATTTGCTGTAATAAAGGCTGTAATGCCAGATGTGACGGCGACGGCGACCTCGCCGAAGGCGAGAAGGCGACGCGATGGCGAGACGCCGGCGGCGAGACGGCGACGGCGAGAAGGCGAGGCGAGGCGCCGTCGGCGTTAGGGCGACGGCGACCTCGCCAAAGGTGAGAAGGCGACGCGATGGCGAGACGCCGGCGGCGAGACGGCGACGGCGAGAAGGCGAGGCGAGGCGCCGTCGGCGTTAGGGCGACGGCGACCTCGCCAAAGGTGAGAAGGCGACGCGATGGCGAGACGCCGGCGGCGAGACGGCGACGGTGATGAAAATGGCATGACGGTGACGGCTGAGGGGGATTCGGGGATTCGGGCGGGGATTACGCGGTTACATACACACTACAAGGCGGTTTCGGAGTGGCCGAATTGACAACAGATTCCAACGAAACGCAAGACATGGAACCAAACGACCCTCGACCATGCCATGCCATCATGCATACCACAACAAAGGGTTGATGATGCAGATTGATTGGTGGTCGGCAATACAAATCCGGCATCCCAAATCCGACATGCTATGGCAAAGCGTTGCAAGACGGCATGGGGACGTGTGAAACGAGGCCCCTCTCGTACTTACATTCTCACACATGACGGCGATGTACGGCGGTGGCGACGCCTGTGATGCTCGTCGCGCCGATACGTGTTGTCCTGTTGGAAGTCCTCGCCCAGGCTCGCTCAGACCGGTGGCGGGAACGGGCGGGAGGTGGGCGGGGAAATACACACACACACGCTGTTAATCAGCTAGCAGGGGACACAACGAGCACAGACTTTGCACAGCAAAACGACATGGGCAGTTGTGCACAATATGCAGAAACGTACTAATACGCACACGGGCACATCGCGGGCAGTTGGGAATTCTCCATCACAAGTAAAAACAGTAGCACCCTCACACATACACATACGTATACGGGTGCGCGCATGCACACACACACACCTACACCCTCTTACACACACCTACATACACTTACACACGCACACGCGCGCGCGTGAGCACATTCTCGCCCACATTTGAACAGATACCTACATACCTACATACAAACATACATACATACAATTGCGCACAAATACAAGACACTGAAGACCGCAACAATAACCATCGGCCGGCTTTGCAGCTTCTATCTGAGTTTGCTGACCTTATCTTTGCAGTTTGCTGCCTTTGTGCTTTTGCTGTCGCTGTTGCTGCTTGCCGGCACGACAGGAGAAAAACACCGCGCCACGAAACACCCACAGCAATAAACTTTGCTCCGAACGTATGTACGATATCACTACATCACGAACGGACACAAAGTGGCACCCACGCAGTGAACATACGGGGAAAGACCTTCATGCCGTACTCCCTACACGCCGCACCTTACCAAGGTACAACAATTTCATACCGAAATCCCCCTCCGTCACCAACTCGTCTATGCATTTGCAACGCGCCTTCACCCATAGAATCCAAGAACGATGGCCGACCTTGATACGACGTGTAACGGCCTCACGACCGGAAATCTAGGCGCGTTCTAACTAACGTACGACATGTACGGGCGACCGTGCATCCGGCGTCACTCACCGGCAGCGGAAGACGATGTGAGCGGGGATCCTTGATTAGAAGCGTTGACAATGGGGGCCCTTGCTTCACGCCGACGCAACATCGCACTGGGGTCTTGGAGAGTTGAAAATGTGGTGTACGCAGAGATTCTCGTTGCCAGGTGGAATGCGGTCGATCTGGAAGGTCTTGGGCAACTCCAATGAGCAGTCGTCTCTGTCGCGAGGAAGGTCACGGACATCGGACGAAGTGGTCATGTCTCGCCTAACGACGTGTACTTTCCTGCCAGACCGCCTAGCTTTCAGCCTTCGTAGACTCCTTACACAGCTAAAGCACAACTGTCGGGATTACGCTCAAACGCCGCATACGCCCATATTCTTGCAGCAGAGCGCTGCACAAACACATGCCCGTCGAAAGCCCGTCGACAAAGCCCCTTATGTTTCAAAGATCCATACACAAGCTCGAGAAGCAAACATCTCACCTCAAAAAAATGAGTTGCCGCAAGTCGCACCTTGCCCTCACAAATGAGTCAGGCAAGTCGATGTCCGTGAAGCGGCGACGCTGTGCCTGAAGCAACGCCAGCAGGGGTTCAATAAATAAATGCTTGGGATAACCGCGTAATAAATTAGAGCAATGGAACTGAAGTGCGGCGGCTACAGCATGAAGGTTTTGCAACGAACAGTACCTTGCAAACGTTTGCAGGGTCCACAGCAGCTTCTCAGGGCGCCGCGCAGCTGTTCAGGCTTCCTCATTTGCTGGTCATATGTAGGAAGCTAGCAGCTTTTACGGACGCACCAGAGCTGGAACAGGCCGAAAAGAAGGGCTCAAACGTTGGGTGAAAGTCTGTGATCAAATATCGGACGTTGTGCACATTTGCTAATGGAGCTGGAAGTGCTATGGGAGGTGCCTTTTGTCAGAGGCCAGTTAAATTGTACGGCGCAACAGCTGCAAATCCAAGTGTGTTGGAAAGGTGCAGTTCGGCGAACTCACTTTGTCGACAGTTAGCCTATTAAACTTTTATATTATAGCTGTATGTCACTGCATTATCACGTTCACCTCCGTTCCTCTGCACCTGGTTACGTCCTCCCCGGAAGCAAGATCCCTAAGTGCAAGCCCTTGCAAACAACAGGTCAAGTTATCATGAAGGCCGTTGCTTCATTTTTGCTTATGTGGCATAGCGGGCGATTGACGTAATCTGCCCATGGCGGAAGTGCCAAGAGCTATTGATACAGCGTTATGGTTCTTGAAGTTCTTCTTGAGTATCTAAGGTGCTTTAAGTCACGTTTGCTTACAAAAGGAACTGCGGCCCGAACAAGGGCGCCATGGAACTATCATGGGGGGCTTTCCTTTGACAGGGCTAAGCCATCCGTAGCTTCTTCTTTCGAGGTCATCCATCGATGCACCATCATTGTCACCCAGCACTGCTGTGAGCAGCGAGATCGTGCACCGCCCAGCTCCCTATCACCCTATATCCCTCCCGTTCA